GGGGGGGGGGGGGTATTAAAGAGAGCTAATATACTTTTAAGTCTGCGGGCATCACAGATTGCATTCTTCAACATTTATAATTTAGTAACGTTCTTGTGTGTTACCATGTCATCAGCCAAGTCGGTAAGCAAAGTCTCCTATTGCAGTAACTTGTTGAGGTTTGTAAAATAGCAGATCAGAAGTCTTCATTCAACATCCTGCCCCCTGGCACAGACTGAACAAAAATGGTGATTCTAAAAGAGAACTGACACAGAGCAAATGGTTACCGTGCATGCACCACAACCACAATTTCCAAGGATCGATTCCAGCCAACTATTTGTGTGTATGCCTAACTGTGTGGGATATCATTTGTTCATTTGTTCTGCCACTAGGGAATGGTACATGAATGGAAACTACCTCATCGTGATCGTCTCCATCTGCATCATCTTCCCACTGGCCCTGATGAAACACCTGGGTATGCCACATCACTTCATCTTATCATACTAAAACTCCTCAGACAGCTTGTTGAAACAAGACATCACTTCATTTAAGTCTTTGACAGAACTTAACCTAACTCATAAGGAGACAAATGATAGATGCTGCTCTCCAATAGGACTCAGAGAAGCCAAAGGAAAATCAAACTGCATAAAATCTCAACATAACATAACTCACAACAGAGCCCCTACAGCAGGGGTTTCCAAACTACGGCCCAGGTTCATTTTAATTGGCCCTCAGCTAATTGTAAAAGTATAATGGAATATGACCCACACTTGAAACTCGTGCTTCACTTATAATGTTCTTCTTAAATATATCTAAACATATATGGCACAGTATTCATGTGTTAATAAGCCACTTTTTTTGATGATAATATTTTCCAACAAATGTTATTTGATCAAAAAAGCCCAATAACTTATCTGCATAACAAGAAGTAAACCCTTCCTATTCAATGAAACTCTCTGGAGAGCTGTATGTTTTTCTGTGGCCCTCGGGGAATAAAGCTGGGACACCTGTGCTAGCCCATTGAAGTAGGTGCTATTTACAAGAGCATGATCCTTTGGTTTATTAGAGTTCTTTTAAAGGATTGTTATTAGAAGCTGAGCAGATGAGTTTCTGAGCTGAAGGGTTTATCCACCTCAGTTTGAGCTACAGCTTCATGGTCTCCATTCATCATCTGTCCGTTTCGGAAGGCTCCTGCACTGATACTTAGTGAGAACTGCCACTCAGAACTGTGCTTGGATGCCATTCTTTCTAAGCTTACTTAGTATGACTCGACATTTACTGAGAGTAAACTAATATTTGATATGCCGTAGACCCTGTCAACACACATGCTAGGTCCAGGGTTCACTGATTTCCTCTCCTGTTAAATGGATGAAAAATATCCTTCTTAGGGCTGTGATTCTTTTTTGGACTTGATTGTCAAATACATTTGACAAAATTCAGAAAGATAATAAGACCTTGCAAGAAGTATTTTACTTTTTCGTTCTAATGTTGCATTGTAAAATCTCAAAGAAATTGGTAATATCAATGTATTTAAAAACATTGACCAAATGCCTCCTGCAGTAAGGTCCTGCAGAGCCAAACAGTGGATAGGTTTCTTCTAACGTGTCATTGTGCAGATGCTCACCATGGCGGGCAGGCGGATGTTGGCCAGGCTGCGGATCAGGGCCTGACTCAGGCCGGACAGCTCCAGGAACAAGGCCTCGTTCCTCTCCTCGATATGTTTGTTCTCCTCCTCCATGCTCTTTAGGTTGTTTTCCATTGAAGAGATCTGAAACACAGACACATACACAACCTGAAGAAGAGAGCCTGACAATAAAACCGGAAATGTAAATGATAATAATAATAGTAATGTAGGAAAACGTTTGTGGCTGCAGGGTATTTTTCAGGTAAGTCCACTGAAGAAGCTGCAGTGAGTGACAGCTTCACCATGTCCAGCGGCACCCTGCAGCCTTCTCCTGCAGACAGCTGGGCCTCACCTGAGTGTGCAGGTTCATCATGTCGGCCTCCATCTCACCGTTGGAATCGCTCAGCTCGTTGATCTCCTTGTTGAGCTGCTTGATGTCCTCATCGTTGTCCAGAACTGAGAACACAACACACAGTCAGCAAACAGGAATTCACCTGCCAGACCTTCCTCTGGCAGCCACACATCTCTATTATCACTAATATGTGCAGTGCACAACTTGTAGTGGCACATCTATAAATATTGGTAGTAATGATAGCATTTTGGGACACAAGAAAAGTCTCTTACCATCGCTGGCTCTGAACTTGGCGGTGATGTACTCGTCTCCGGGTAACTTGGCTCTCTTCTTGTTGGCCGACGCTCTGGGACAACCTGACAGACTGAGAGGAGCATCTGATCAGGACCAAGAACAGTGACATTATGAACATTAGGCTCATGAAGGACTCATTATTTGTAGGGATATAGAAGAAGCCGCAGTAAACCTGTTTCTAGGGCCCCCGTGCACCAAAGAGCCTGTGGTGTTTTCATAGAGATTCTATGTTCTGCTCTTTATCGAGTTTTGAGCGTCTTAAGGAGCTCACTTCTCACTTGACACAATTGGCACAGACGTTAGTAGAGAAGATAATTGTATCAGTGCTTGTTTTTGGCCATCATGTTTTTAAGCGCCCTTTACTGAGGCTAGTGCAGAAATCACATATAGTTACTCTGATACTCAGTTTGTCACCTGAGAGTTTCTCAGAGGCGCATGAAGATGACCTGGCTCTCGAGAACTGAAGTATCGGGATTATCTCGGGTTAGGTAAATAGAGCATGCGCATTTCCCGACGCTGGTCTTCGCTCAGTCAATTGAATAGAGAGAAAAAAAGGGATTTACTGACGCATACTTTTACAACTTCTCTAGAGTAGGTAAGAAAGGTCAGGTTGATGAGTGTGAGAAATACCTGCAACAGTTTTAAATGATTGCACTTTGAGATGACACTGTGAACTCTCAGATGGCGGGGTACCTGCGGTGCGTCAGGAAGCTGCCGTTGGCGTGGCCCGAGCCATCGCAGCCTGGCGTCGGGCAGGTCGGGCCCTCCGTCTTGAAGGCCTTCCAGGAGAAGGGAGTGCCGTTAAGAAGACCCTCCTTCTGCCGGCGCGCGGCCAGCGGACAGCCGTAGGCACTGCGGTGGGTGGCGTACTTCCCACTGATGTGGCCCAGACTGTCACAGCCAGGAACCGGACACCTGGAGACAGAGAGCTCCGTGTCACTGCCTCCTCTTTCACTGAGCAGAGGGGGAAAGGTGGGCCCACACTGACACGTCAATACATGTGGTGTTTAGTCTTAGAATTATAATCAGAGGTGGGAGGAGTACTCAGATGTTATACTTGAGTAAAAGTAGAAGTACCAGAGTGTAGGAATACTCTGTTACAGTAAAAGTCCTGCATTCAAAATGTTCCTCAAGTAAAAGTAGAAAAGTATTATCATCAAAATATTGTGAAAGTAGCGACAGTAAAAGTATTCATTGTGCAGATTGGTCCATTTCAGAATAATAGATATGATATGTTTTATAATGATTGATCATGAAAGTTTTCTCAAAGCTGGTAAAGGTGCAGCTAGTCTGAATGACTTTGTATACTGCAGGGTAGCTTGTGGATTTACTCCAGGTGGAACTAAAGTCTGATTCAACACTTGATTATATTTCACATCATTCATCCACATCTGTAAAGTAACTAAAGGGATTAAATACATGTAGTGGAGAAAAAAGTAGCCCCTCCATGGGGTGGAAAAATTGAGATACTCAAGAAAGTACTAGTATCTTAGAACTGTACTTAAATACGGTACTTGAGTAAATTAATGAAGTTACTTTACACTTCTGATTATTATAGAAATCTGTGATTCAGTAAACGTCAGCATACCATTTTGATGCAAATAGTCCAGATTAATGTGCAACATGTAATAATGATCAGGGAACACCGTTCCACTGCTGGCCAGATATCAAAGTGTTTTGGGTTGATGTTCTGGCCACATTATCATAAATAGACTCAGCCACTCTTCCAGAATGCCCAACACTCTGTATTCTTGGTGTTCTCCCTATGATTCAACAACGTAATGACAACAAGAACAAACTAAAGCTATAATATCAGTCTTTGGTAAACCCCCGAAAATCCCCTCAACCAATCCGTGTTTAGAAAAGCTCTCTCCTTGTCTGGCCCTAGAGACATGGAGCTATGCTGGAAAGGGACAGCCTGAGACCTGCTGTATGGGGACATTCATACATGTTTCCGAAAGGAACTAGGTACGACAGGAAGCTACATCACATCCAATCAGATGATTGGATGTGATGTAGCTTCCTGTCCACCAGCTTTGTTACTTCCTGTTTAAACCTTTTGACAATTTCACATGTCCATTTACATCATTTTGTAAAATGTATGTTGTTTTGAGTTTTCTTTTTGTAATTATTGTTCACTGTCAACATGTATATTTTTGTATTTTATTAATTTAAATTAGGGCCGGGACTCGATTAAAAAAATTAATCTAATTAATTAGAGGTTTTCTAATTAATTAATCGAAATTAATCGCATTTTTAATCACATATAAATATTTGACCTGAGAACAGTGAGAAGATGTCAATAAAGTGTGCCGTCACACAGAGGTAATTTGAATTGCTTACCGAGGTCCAGTGATCCCCAGTCAGGGCAACACATTCGGCTTTCTCCAATAAATTCTCTTTATCTTCCTTTTCATTGTCATAAAGCTGCTGGATTCTTTTTGTCACTGTCTTTCTGCAT